CATGACCTCCTGCCACAGCCACGACCTCCTGCTGTGGGCCACGATCTCCTGCCACGGGCCACGATCTCCTGGCACGGCCACGATCTCCTGCCACGGCCATGACCTCCTGCCACAGCCACGACCTCCTGCTGTGGGCCACGATCTCCTGCCACGGGCCACGATCTCCTGGCACGGCCACGATCTCCTGCCACGGCCATGACCTCCTGCCACAGCCACGACCTCCTGCTGTGGGCCACGATCTCCTGCCACGGGCCACGATCTCCTGGCACGGCCACGATCTCCTGCCACGGCCATGACCTCCTGCCACAGCCACGACCTCCTGCTGTGGGCCACGATCTCCTGCCACGGGCCACGATCTCCTGGCACGGCCACGATCTCCTGCCACGGCCATGACCTCCTGCCACAGCCACGACCTCCTGCTGTGGGCCACGATCTCCTGCCACGGGCCACGATCTCCTGGCACGGCCACGATCTCCTGCCACGGCCATGACCTCCTGCCACAGCCACGACCTCCTGCTGTGGGCCACGATCTCCTGCCACGGGCCACGATCTCCTGGCACGGCCACGATCTCCTGCCACGGCCATGACCTCCTGCCACAGCCACGACCTCCTGCTGTGGGCCACGATCTCCTGCCACGGGCCACGATCTCCTGGCACGGCCACGATCTCCTGCCACGGCCATGACCTCCTGCCACAGCCACGACCTCCTGCTGTGGGCCACGATCTCCTGCCACGGGCCACGATCTCCTGGCACGGCCACGATCTCCTGCCACGGCCATGACCTCCTGCCACAGCCACGACCTCCTGCTGTGGGCCACGATCTCCTGCCACGGGCCACGATCTCCTGGCACGGCCACGATCTCCTGCCACGGCCATGACCTCCTGCCACAGCCACGACCTCCTGCTGTGGGCCACGATCTCCTGCCACGGGCCACGATCTCCTGGCACGGCCACGATCTCCTGCCACGGCCATGACCTCCTGCCACAGCCACGACCTCCTGCTGTGGGCCACGATCTCCTGCCACGGGCCACGATCTCCTGGCACGGCCACGATCTCCTGCCACGGCCATGACCTCCTGCCACAGCCACGACCTCCTGCTGTGGGCCACGATCTCCTGCCACGGGCCACGATCTCCTGGCACGGCCACGATCTCCTGCCACGGCCACAACCTCCTGCCACAGCCACGACCTCCTGCTGTGGGCCACGATCTCCTGCCACAGGCCACGTGCTCCGACCACGGGCCACAATCTCCTGCCACGGGCCACGCACTCCAACCACAAGCCATGATCTCCTGCCACAGGCCACACACTTCAACCACGGGCCACACACTCCCACCACTGGCCAGTGCTCCGACCACCCCCCGAGAAGTGGGAGGATGCCCGGGGGGGTGGGCAGGGCTGGTGCTCCTCGCCCTGCTGGTGGCCCCCCCACGTTCCCGTGGCTTAAACCAACTGAGCTGGGCCCGGGCTCGGCCCCGTCACAAGTAACGCCCTGAGGATCCCTCCCGGCTGGCAACGACTTGGCCAGGAACCTGCTGCCCCATCAGCTATTGCATCCTACCGCAAAAAACGATAAACTCCGCGGCCGGCGTTGAGGATTTTTCCTTCTGATCTGAGAAGGGACGCTGAACTTCAGACAAAACTGCCTCCCGGTGCTACCTGGAACCCGAGCTGGCGGAGCTGAGCCCGCTCCTCCGCTGCAACCGCGTGTTCCGGGGGGGGTTTGCGGGGGAAGGTTCGGTTCTGTTGATGCGTTTGAATTTCTAGTTCTCGTGCTGCAGGACTCGGATGGGGCCCAAAAGGGAAAATGTAAATCTGAGTATTTTTTCTTACTGAAGTTGCTTTTACTGCCGCAAACACAGTTGGACATTAGGGCTTTGAAACCATTTTATCCCTTTTTTTTTTTTTTTAAAAATTTAATGACAGCATTTACTCTGGTGCTATTAATACCCGGGGAACCAAAGTCTAATATTTTAAACTATGTCACAACATCCCTTTTATTTGGAAATCCAGCGTGAAGGCAGGTTTATTATCCCGTGGGACGGTCAGGCGAGGGGATGGAGAGAAGGCAGCAGCGGGCTGACCCACGTGGGGAGGCTCCCGCGCGGCCGCGGGACTTCTGAGGGACTTCACTCCATACCCAGCGCTGTAAAACATGCAAAGCTTCACCTCCACCTGCACTCGGAGTGACTACTACAGCTAGCCCCACTATTCCTAATGATTTCCTAACTACGTAATGCCCTCTGCCAAACCTGTGGAGACTGTGCCGTCGTCGCACCTAGTAGCTCATCGCGTGTGTTAAAAATCAAAGACGTGCAGTTAAAAGAATTTTCTCAAAAAGAAAAGAGTCAAAGTAGCCCAAGAAAAGTGCTGATCCGTTTAAAATAGAACTAAGGCACTGAAGGGAGTTGTAAACTTCCAAGTCAGCACGCAGGATGCTCCCGCTGTCCGGCACGAGCTCCCTGGGGAGCGGGGGCCCGGCCGCTGCGGCTCCCATGGGCCCACCCCTGGCAAACCCGCGGGCCCACGCGCTCCGGGGGACGCTCGTAGCATTTTTACAGGGAGGAACAAGCTGGAGCCACGGCGGTGGGAACGGCCTCCGCGAGCGCCGGGGGCCAGTCGGCAGAGCGGGGCCCGCGGGTCCTTCCCCTGCCCCAGCGGCCCTGTCAGCCTGCAGAAGCGACACGGATACACGTCGGGGGATGAGCAGAATTGATCCAATTATGGCAGCAAAACCTCTTTGCTTTTGTTTGAGGCAAGAATGACTTTTTCAGTTTAGTTTGCAACTACAACAACCTTTCAATTGGATTATGCTGGGGGATCTGTCTCGGATGGGAATGGATGCGTCTGCCTGAGGATTACGCTGCCGTAACCTCTTTCATGTCTAGACAAGGCTCGAGTCAAGGAACAGCCAGCGCCCGCTCTCAGCACTCGGCTCCCCAGGGCGCTGCAACCGCTTTACGCCGCGGCCCAAGATTTTAAAAACCGGCAGAAATTCCTCCCGCAGCACCAGACGCAGCAGTGAGGGGCTGCTGCCCAAACCGGTGCCGACACACAGGCCAATGCAATCGTCCCTGTTAGGGCACCTGGGGGGGACGGGGGACACCAGCCCCGGGCACGCGGCGGGGACACACACAGGCCGGGGGATGTTTCCTGGCTACAACCACCGCCAGTGTGTGTGCAGAAAAACCGGGAGGAATTTTTGTGTTGGGGTTTTTTGTTTTTTGGTTTTTTTTAGATTTGGATTAAAAAAAATGGACTTTTTTCCTAATACTTAAATGCTCTTCACCACTGGATGTCTGAGCAGGGATGTGTAATCAGAAAGCAGGAGTCACTGCTCCCTCATAAATTTTAAGATGAGCAAAACGGAGACGAAGATACACTGCAGCTCTGGCCAGCTCCCGCGCGTTAATCCCGCCGCGCTCTGCTGGGCAGGGAAGGAAACGTTCTGCTCCGAGGGGATGAAGTCTGCACCTCTCTCTCCTTTACCCTTCCCGAAGGAATTGCCTCCCGCTCCGGGGAAGGACGCTCCTGCCCCACGGCTTGGCAGCCCCCGGGCGAGCGCGGAGGGGAGGAGGAAAGGCCGAGGACCCCAGCTCGCACAACAGCCATCCCACCTATTCCGTTAATATTGCTTCAGCTTAAAAAGGCCTTTGGATTAAAAGTGAATTCAGTGCTTTTCCATCAAAAAAAGATCCCGCGATGCCGTACGGCCCCCCCCGCCCCCAACAGCGCCGCCGCCACGAGCGAACCTGAACCTGAGGGTCCTGGTGGGGAGGAGCCGCAACAGCCGGACCCCGGGGACGCAGCGGATACCCCCGGGGGTGCTGCCTCGGGACCCCCCTGCCCTTCTGCGCCTGCTGCAACTCCCACCTCGGCAAAGCGAACGCAGTGGGGGAGGCGGGATGCAGCCCCCAGCCCAGCCCCCTGCCCGCCCTCCAGGAGCAAAAGCCCAGCCCGATTTGGTATTTCAAAACCAGAGACCCGCAGCGGGCTGGCCGTGAGGCCCAACAAGACACTTGTTGCCCTTCCCCTGCACCTCGCTACATCTAAAAGGGGCAGGAATGGGAGGGGTCCTGGCCGAGCGCGGCCTCGTGCGCCCC